TACTATCCTAATATATGTTGTGGTTTAGTGGTTGAAGTTTTGTTAAATCCACAAAATAAAATACAAATTTCCCCAAAAAAACTTTATTCAAATTGGAATGGTGCACACCAAACGTGAACCGGTGTACATATCGACTGCTCTGCAATAGCAATTTAGAACGACATCGGTTGTCCAGTCTCTTATCATCTCACTATCTCTCACTGAATCACATTAAAGATATCGAGACCTGCAGTGCGTATAGCTCTTATCACTGATTTATCAGTGTGGACTTATGCATCATTAACTCGGGCGTCATGACTTATGATTGTTTTTGCATCCAAACTCAATAAGCGGGAGAGGTTTAAGTTTTGTCCAGCGAGATGATGTTCTTATGGGATATCAAATGCCTATCGTCAGCAGATGTTACTGAATATGTGTATTAAGCATAACAATATTATGTGATACTTAGATTTGGGTTTAAGTGTTGTAGCTAACATCCCAGCAAAATATATCTCTCAGAATGCTATACATTTTATACATTACCACATTGTTGCAACATTGTCATTGATTATTGTGCGAGCGCAAACATGTTATTTAGTAATTATGGTTGGCCCTGTCGATGCTAAATGGTTAACTAGTAGCATAGTTGGTTAGCAGGTATATGTAAGCTTGTGACGTCACTTTCTCGTTAGAATAATTCACTGCAATATCATCCTTTTTCCTTTCTTGTAGCTCTGTTTCAATTTTCAAACGCTGCTTCGAAGGCCTCGAAGCTCGTCTCCCCTGTACAACTTGAATGAGTAACATATGTACTTGATGCTTGGCAAAAGAAGAGTCCATTTTTATATCGTTTGAACCTAGCAAATTTAGTTATAACTAATGCAGGATTTTCGGTACCTCTCCCCATCAACAAAAGAATACAAGCAATAAGCGCTCAAACGCGTTTGAAATCCCTATAATGTCTGGCGTATTTATTTTAGTGTTTTCTAAGCTTTCAAATTAGGCTTCTATTTCTTCTCTCTAATACTAGAATAAGACACGTTAAACAATATTCAATCCCATACATAATCAAAAATATAAGAATAATATTATACAATATTTTTCCTATCATAAGTCGTTGAAGCCCGGTCGTTCTCAGCCCCTCACCCTCCAGCGCAATTTTTTACAAGGCAGCAAGTTTTTAAACTAAATGGTAAGGTTTCATGTTAGAACAAATGCAAGAAAGTCGAACATTGAACGCAAAATAATTAAAGCAAAACCACATAGCACTAAGTAGTTTATTGTTGGTTAATTTTAAATTATTTTTAGTTATTATCTTATTTATGGGTTATATAATTTGCGATTTATTTTTGTATATAGCGTTCTGTGAATTTCACACTGTATAAGTACAATTCACAATTAACTTCCACTTAAATTCAGTAAAATTCAAAATTACCTTCCACTCGAGCTATCCCGACCCAAATAAGTCATGGATTTTTCCATGACGTGTTTCAATGAAAATGTTTCCCCCTCTTCGCCTGACGCCGCCCCATCCCACGCTGACGTCACAGCGCGTGCTCGACACGCAAATGAGATGCGTTCGTGGGTTGACTGCAATAGTAACGTTAATAAAAAATATATGCGCCTAAAACTTACTTTTTAAACACAACTCTTCTAAAGAGGCCATTGTCTCCGACGTTACACATGTACAATGAATTTCTTATTTTATTTTAAAATATTTTTAAAAAAAATTACAAATTTTTTCTACTATTAAAATATTTTTTGCATTTTTTAAATTATTTATTCTGTCAATTGATTAAAGCATTGTCTCCAACTATACGCAAGTGTGCATAATTTCAGATCAATTGGACAGGTAGATGTGTTTTAAATATCGAAAATAATATTTGTAACAGACGAACAACACACAAACAAACAACAAGAAGTGAAGTTAAAGAAAAGTATTGTATAAATGTTTTAGCATGCGCCGTGACTTTAATTGTAAATTGGGTTCCATCAGGTGATTTATTAAGAAGCCACTAATGAAACAACATTACATCTTATTGAAAAATCAATCAATGCATTGAAAATTTATTAACATGTATCGTATTGTCCGTGATGGACTGGCATTCATCAAAACATTCATTATCATCGCACTCATCCTAATGCTCGAATGTCAAATAAAATCAATGAGAGTTGAAATTCATCTCAACGTTCGTCATAAACGATCATTCGTTGCGATAATATCTTAATGGTTATGAACCATCATTTAGCAATGTTCTCATTTTACAGACTGATTTTCATCAACAGCTTTTAATGGACTCTAATTTATGAAATTATTTATTGTGAACCGGAATTAGTCAAACTATTTTTATCATAACAATTTGCATCACTGAGAAGCATTATTCGTAACATTCACAATGCTATACCAAGCTCAGATCGCTAGTCGGAGAGGAAATGTGATCAGTTTCAACGTCCACGATTTCAAGAGAATAAAAACATAAAAGATTAGCGATATATGCACCTGCCTGTGATGATCGAATTTTCAGTTCAACCATTGATGCATGTCGTTCCGTCATTGACCGTTCATTTCTTTTGCTGAATTTATTTACCGGCGCGTTTCAACATTTTGTTGTGATGAGCTTAAAATTTTCTGTGACCTGAAGATAGCAGATTGACCAAATCAAAGCACGGTTACCTAGACAATAATCTATTTCATACAATGATTTTATCTCGCTAAAAAAGCGATTTCGTGTAGAGTAGGAATGTTAAAACATAAGTTATTGACATTCAATTACAATTTTGCATTCAACAATTAACGTGATGAGTCAATGGGAATGAGGTTAAATCCAATACCTATTTTTATGCCTTTTATAACCGTAATCTTGTTCAAGTGAACTTGATTTGCCTTTATTTTCTAAGTTCTAATTCAAACATTAACAGTGTTCATCTTCTCCCTCATGTACCCAAGTTGCCGTGACCGATCATTGTATAACTTTTGTTTGGAAGAACCTTATTGTCCTTCTGTAGGCAACTGTGCTGTAGAGTTCAATGATGACTAAATGCCTATCAATTACAGAATAATTGAGAATGCAAAGATATACACAAAACTACAATACAAAATATAACCCCTAAAAAATTACATCATACTGCCTTGCACTACGCAGGCAGGTCATCTCGATACCCTGTATTGCACATTGCACGTCTTTTCGATATCTTGTATGCGATGCAGTCGAAGACGATGTAGTGAAAAGAAGAAGTAGAGCAGCCGACGTAGCGTGCAGTTGCGGTTGTGGTGAAGTTGTTGACTAAACCTGTAAACCTCTTCAAATATGAACTCAAATATTGAAACATTTTAAATGTTGTCATTGAATTTCTGGATTTCTGGAATCGATGTCATTGAATTTCTGGATCGATAATGAAAAATTAAAAGTATCCAAAGCGCTCTCGGATAGCTGCATACTTTGTGCACCTTTACGTAATATATTATTCGTGCAGCGATTATATTATGGGAATGTAAAATGATGAGGTAGCGAATGAAAATTTTTAATCCTGCATACTAAGCAGCCGCGACTTTCAGCTGTTACGTGTCATATTTATTTGAATTTAGCTTACGATAGTTATAAAAATTAGAAAAATTCTCACTCGTTTTGGCAAAACCAATGCAGATTCCAATGGTAACTTCCGCAGAATCGATCATGAACATATGACCTACTTTTAATTAAAGCGTTGCAGTTCTCAGCCACTACTGATAGTTTCCTGTACATAATTCCGGTTTTTACCACGTTTTTCTTAGCTCGCTTTCGTGTCCGTCTGTCTGTCTGTCTGTCTGTTTGTGATGATCAAATCTTGCAATCGATATTTCACCAACTTTCCCGCTAGCTAGCGCTCTGAAACTTTTAGGGAAGCTCAGCTCCCGATGACAATACAATAATCAATAATTTATTGCACGTTTCCAGGCGTATTTATTCAATGAAATGTCGACCGAGAAATTGTGGACGCTGCTGCCGCGGTGACGCGGTGCGCCGCTGTTGTGATGGCGAGCAAAGCCTGGCTTAAATACAAGACCATTTCAAGACCCGCTTGCCTAACTAATATTACTATCACTTAGCGCCGTTCATTCATTGCTTCTTTTATCGTATTTTAATGTCTTTCATCACCGAACCTTTCTTTATTACAGCCACGCACCCAGATAAATACGGGAACAACAATGTATCCCCTCGAATACAATTTTCTACAGAACTTCGAAAAGAATTTTCTTTCGTGCATTTGCGTGGCCAACTGAAATAAAATGAATATTATGTAGGATGGCTGACCTTTGTGCAGTATGTAGTTATAAACTCTAAAGGAACTCACAAGCAAGGGTTGGGAACCTTTAATGCACGTCATCCTCGAGAGGATATTCGTGTTTAGACTGCGTATATCGATGATACGCTGCGCATCATCGATACGTACATCAAGTCAAGTAAATTGGCTCGCAACAACGTTTTTCATGTGTAGCAACGGACTAAAAAATCAGCTGTTACGTGTCAAATTTATTTGAATTTAGCTTACGATAGTTATGAAAATTAGAAATTTTCTCATTCGTTTCGGCAAAACCAATGAAGATTTCAATGGCAAATTCCGCAGAATATGTTCATGAATATAAAGCCTACTTTTAAAGCGTTGCAGTTCTCAGCCACCACTGGTAGTTTCCTGTACATAATTCCGGTTTTTAGACGCCCACGTCGAACTTCACAAATTTCGCAATTGTTTAAGAAACTTCTCAGTCCGATATCTGAACCTGTCGTACGAATTACCAATCTTTTTTCCTCTGAGACATCAAAGTAAGTCGTCACTAATTCTCTATGAACTAGGAACTTCCCCAAGACGAGCGTACATTCACAACGCTCAAAGGACATAATTGAGTTTTATCGAAGATCGTGAGGTTATTATTAATCTCCGTTTTGGAACGTGATTTACTTTCATGCGATCTATATAAACAACGGGAACATAAACACTATAAATATAGTGGTTTTCTTTAGAAGTTCATCAGTTACATTGACTTCCTCAAGCAAGCTTGCTCGGGCTCCTCTACAAACCCAAACTGCCTCAGCATGTTTCGTTCCGCCGTCCTTCTAGTTGGTATGTGACATTGGCTTATCTATGTGACATTGACTATCGGCTGATCGTTCATATAAACAGGATTCTGGCGGTCCTGCAGCTTCAATGATTATTTAACTTATCCAAGTCATTCGATTTGTCGAAATCTTGTTCCTTGGGGCCATCAATAATTATGACCCGGCAATAATATACGTTCTACTATTACCTGTTACAGATTTGGTAAAAAAATTTTTTTTGCCACTCAAAGCTGGTGAATGACACCGTTGAATCCCTTCGAAATATATTTAATTGTGCTTTTGGTATCGCTTTGATTACATGTATGATGAATACTGAATTTGGATATTTTAGTGGTCTTAATATGCATGCTTACACAATTCCAACCCTTTGAATATTTATATTTTAGTTCGTGCTGTGAGATGCTAACAAAATGAAATTAGTAAATTTCGATTTTGGAATTACATGCACTCAATTTGAAAATTCGAATAACGTTAAATTCACTCATAATAACTGTCGTGAATAGATATTTTAGCAGGATATTTAATGAAATTTCAAACAGTTAGATTTTTTGGTCCGTACAGTGGTGGCTGCGATGGCATTGGACCGACTGACAGCTGGCGCTCCAGTCCCAGACGTGACTCCGGGCATCCTGCCTCTGACGGCTGAAGTTCAGGCTAAGCTTCCATTCCCGCAGGAGGTTCTACCCAAACAGCTTCCACCTCTCTCACGACAGCGCAGAACTCTTATTCCGCTGCTCAGTGCTCTATTTCCACCTCCCGCATCACAGCCCAGAGATGTGCTTCCACCTCCTGCATCACAGCCCAATGATCTGCCTCCACCTTCAACAACACAGCCCAAGCCGCAACTTCCACCTCATACACTACTGCCCAAAGATGTGCTTCCACCCCCTGCACCACAGCTCAATGATCAGCCTCTACCGTCAACACCACAGCCCAAGCCTGTGCTTCCATCTCCCGCATCACAGCCACAAGATCTGACTCCACCTTCCGCCCTACAGCCCAAGCCTGTGCTTCCACCTCCCGCATCGCAGCCCAAGCCTGTGCTTCCACCTCCTGCATCACAGCCCAATGATCTGCCTCCAACTTCAACACCACAACCCAAGCCTATGCTTCCTTGTTTAGCACCATAGCCCAAGGATATAACTCCACCTCTGGCAACGCTGCCCACACCTCTACTTCCACCTCCCGCACGACAGCCCAAAGATATGATTCCACCTCTCGCACCACAGACCGAAGATTTGCCTGCACCTCCCGCACCACAGCCCGAGCCTCTGATTCCACCTCTCGCACCACAGACCAAAGATCTGCCTTAAACCCTGCACCTCAACGGAAACAAATGTATACATACACCCACACACCACGGCATTGACCTTTGCCTCCACCACCCGTACCATAGTCCAAACCTCTGACTACGCCTCCAGCACTACAGACCGAATTGACCGAACTTCTGACTTTAACTCCCGCTCTAGAGACCCAGCCATTGCCTCTAGCTCCACAACCATAGACCAAACCCAGGGATTCCGCCCACATAAGTGTGAGCAAATTTGAGTCTTTCAAAGAATTTTGAAGCAAAGAAATGCCACGGAAAATCACAATATATTTATTGAAAACCCCGAATTTAAGAGCAAAGAAAATACAAAGTTAACCCACCATATTTTTATAAAATCATCCCAGAGACCTGCTCCACCATCAGTTTAAATTTCAATAATGTAAGCCTAATCAACAGAATAACCAAATAAAAATATGCAAATTTCACCTTTCCTGTATTTGTATCTGTGAAGTTTTTGAACTGATGATGGAGCTGGTCTCCGAAACTCAGCATCGCCGTCAAAACTATCTATGTATTTACAATTCTATTTGGATAATAATTAAAAGTAGCATTAAAACAAGACTTCAAGCCGTATCAAATTATACGTCGGGAGTCTAAACTTCATATATTTTCGCTGAATGGGCTCCAGTTTCACCTGGTATTTTCTCAAATTAATATTAATAAATTTGTTCCTAAGTGCAATAATGTGAGCGTTGTTAATTGTTCATCTTCATTATTTGACCCAATATCTGAGGCTGTGTCATGGGAATGGAATATCTGGCTCATTGTTTGGGAATAAATATCTTATATACTATTCATGTATTTTATACATAAAGTTTTAGATTTTGAAATGTGGAATGTATGTTCTGTAGGAATCGCATAAGACAAGGTAATTACCTGTCTCTTATACACATCTAGATGTGTATAAGAGACAGGGGTAGCACGGGGCAGCGAGCCCACCTTTTTTAAACTAAATTTTTGATGAAGATTTAATTGATACGAGGTAGTTATTTGTTTTGTTTGAAGTTACAACTAATGAGGAATGTACGATGTGAATTAGACGCCTATAGAGTTATTCAATTTTTAAATAAACTGTGTTTTGTAAAGTGTCAAAATGGGCCCATTGCCCCAGCCCCTGGAGCAATGGGCCCATATGGGCTTGGGGCAAGGCGCCCACCCCTAGTCCCTTTACCCCAATTGCATATTGTTTGTTTTAAATATGATAAAACAACACTTTACAGTTCAAAATAAGAAAAATTTAATGAAAATTATTACATTCATTCATTTATTAACAACTTAAAAAGTCATATTCATAACTTGAAAAATATATTCTTGGCTTGATAAAATCTATCACTGACGTGAAAAAAAAAATTCCTTGGCATAAAAAATTCATCACTGACATGAAAAAATGTATCTTTGACTAGAAAAAAATATATTTACTTGACCAGAAAAAACTTCGTTCGAGTTTCGTCCATAATCCAGATATTACGTGCAGGGAATTCGTACTTACTCGTGATTTCAGCCAACACCACAAAAACTCGTCGACTTATGGCTCATTGGCGTTGGCTGAATTCAACTTACGGCAAGGCTACAGTCAACAACTCGTGTTAAACTTGTTGCTTGAGGAATGCAAATACTCATACTGTGCCGCTCCAAAAAATTTTTCAGCGAATCCTTGCCAGCCATTTTTTCTGCTTGTTAAATAGGCGATTTTTATTTTGGCATTCTACGACACTGATTGCATTCCTCCTCACTAATGTATATGACTTCTACTCACAAATTTCTCCTTACTAATTTCTCATCACCAATGATGTATAACTCAAAACTTCACCGAGGGGTATTGAGCCCACCATGGGCGCTTTGACCCGTGGCACGCATGGGCCCATTGCCCACTATATAGGTACCATTTAAACTTATATCGGGTCAAATTTGTATTTTAAAATTTAATAGTCTAAACTTGAACACAAAATTATCTCTACAAATAATACTTTCAAAATATAATTCATAGTACTTTCAAAAGTTTCATATAGAGTAATCGAAAACAGTTTTATTTAGCATCAAAAAACTTTTATCTGAGCTAAAACAGTACTTGGCACGAACCAGCATTAGTCGCGAGGTTACGCAACTCAAGTGTTAGTGCGACTGGCCTTCTTAATTAATGAATGGATTAAATTGTGCTATCTATGATTCAGTTGATTGCTTGGGAATACAAATGGAACATTATTATGACTTGGTTATATTTTGATTCACAATTACTCTCATTTAATTTGTATATGGTCTCGCAATCAGATGCTACTCAATATCGCAAGTTCACTTAAATTATTAGAGCCGCCAGAGAAATCCACTGTTGGAAATTTCCCCTCTAGAGCAGTCAGCATTCATTAAGATATTGGAAAACAATCATATCCCAAACTTTTCTCATTATAATCGATCATTATAGTGAAATAATGTTCGATTTCAATCGTATTATTTATTGGTTCATCGTTGATACCTTTTGCGCCTTTATTTCCAAATCCAGTGTGTGTATGTATTATCTTCCGCTACTCTAACTGAACAAAGTCTGAGCCAGCCTTACTAGGATATTTAATTTTAGTTATATATTTTTAAGAGGATTGCATAAAAGAGGACAGAGAAAAATAAATATTTCTTTTTATCCTTTTTGTTTGGGTTGGTGAAAGTTACATGGTAGGGCTTGATAACCTTTTGAACGTTAATCATCATATATGGTTAGTATTTCATTTTAAAATCGGGTAATTAAAGATAATTAATTTTCCCTTAGTTGGGGAAATTAGAATCTTGCTCCTGTTTCCGCTTTACTTAAAAACGATTACAAGTTGAAAATCCTGTCAAAAGTATCGCGTATTTGGATGCATAGAAAATATGTATCAGTAGCACACGAGCCACTAGAGTACACTCTTGCTGAAGAATCTTCGACATCCACGGATTGCAGGTCATCTCTTTAACTTGTTTTTTTTTTTTTTTGCGGCGTCCTCTGACTGGACGGTTGTGTGACGATGCAAAACAAATAGCCATAAACCTAATGCGGTGCTCCAGCGTGGCCTGGGACTTCTACATTGAGAACATTTGCATAGGATACCAAGGGCAAGAGTTTAATTCAGTGCGAGTCAGTGAGGGGATGAGGAGCTTGAAGGCAGACTATGGTATTTGAAGCAGTGAGTGCGGTGCAGTCGGCAACTGCTTCACAATTTTGGTTCACAGAACTTTGGGTTTGAACCCTTGTAAGAAAAGTTTTGAATTTCTTCCATAATATGACCGCTTATCTATATGTCTGAACTAAGAACAGGTCGTCTCCAAAATCCAACATTCTTAAAAGTTGTTATTTGTGTCCCTTGCCGTGGTGACGTTGCAGCCCTGATGCTCCTCTACGAGTCTACAAGAATTACTCTATTAATTAAGTAAAGCGCATATAACGCAAACAAAACATTGGTCTACAAAAGTCAAGGAATTAAATATAAATTCACATAATTACATTGCGTACATCTTATTCAAACATTTGTTTGGTTCTCAGTTAACTAGGGATGATACCTTGCAATGTTTTACGCATCAAATTAGTTATCGTAGTCAGTTCCGAGAATAATGCGAAGTTTGCACGTGTCGGTCTTGTCGCGGCTGGAGTTAACTCGTTTTCCAAATTATAAAAAATAATTTGGCGACTTTGTAAGTTCCAGGTACTGACGAGGCAAGTATAATGCAGGATAATTGCACTGAATTTTGCTTAGTATCACGAGCCTAATTCTTTTTTTAACAAAATGTACGAACGCACAGTAATTGCATGCTAAATAAAATATTAATTTTTATTTTCTAGCAATCAATCATGCATACCGAAGTTCTGGAGAGGCTAATTCTTGAATATTTGCGTTTTTCTTTTTACTGTGAGAATAATTAAGTAATTTAGGTAGCGTGAATAAATCATAATTTCTTCAGATATTCTCTGTTTTTTGACTATCCAATATTAAAGTAGTATCTCAGAAAAGTTGTTGATTGAGCTCAGAACTTTTCGTACAATACAACCAGTTGTAATTTGATGATCAAGCCGAATCCAAGCAATTATCAGAATTAATAATGCAGAATCTTTTTCAGAATATTCCGCTTTCATATTCGAATATCAGCTAAAATAAGCCTTCGTAAAATTATTTTGTTAATTAATTGTTTATTTGCAAGGGAATGGCACAGCTTCAACAACTAAGGTTGCTTAATGTGTCGCAGAAATTTATTTTATCATTAAATTTCTTTATATCAAGTCAAACCCATTGCATCAATTGAAAAATATGCTTTCTCTTTCATTGTAATTCTGATTCAAATTTTTAACGTTGCTTTGAAGGCCCTGAAATTCATCTCCTTTCTACAACTCGAATAAGTAACAAATTACTTGATGTTTGGCAAGAGAAGAGTTCGTTCTTAAATCATTTGAACCGAGCAAATTTAGTGATATATAATGCAGGATATTCGGTGCCTCTCCCCATCACCAAAACAATACAAACAATAAGCGCTCAAACTCATTTGATATTCGTATAATTTCTTGCGTATTTATTTTAGTGTATTCTAAGCTTTTAAATTAGGCTTCTATTTTTCTCTCCAAAAAAACACAGAAACACTCTAAACCATATTTAATCCCATACATAACCAAAAGTATAGGTGTTATAAATTTATTTTTAGAGCATTTTCTCATATATGGAAAAAAGGCGCTATTGTGCTCGTCATGTCCGTCCGTCTGTCCGTGACTTCACGTTTTCGTTGACGAGAAAATGCGCTCTCTGTCACTCACTGCAGTGAGTACTGAGTTATATTTTGTTTTCAATTTAATAACATAATTCATTGAACTCCGATTGCCCTCAGCCCCTCACCATCCAAAGCGTTTTTTACAAGGCAGTAAGTTATGAAACTAAATGGTAAAGTTTCATGCATGAACAAATCTAACAGAGCCAAACATTTAGCACAAAATAATTGAAGGAAAGCCATATAGCAGTTAATAGTTTATTTTGGGATTAATTATAAATTACTATAAGTTATTATCATATAAGTTGGTTTTCTAATTAGTGATTTACTTTTGCATCAGCGTTCAGTAAATTTATTTTGTACAAGTTGACTTTTCATCCGTTCAAATCTCGTCAAGCTTAACTTCCACTCGAGCTATCCCGACCCAAATAAGTCATGGATTTTTCCATGACGTGTTTCAATGAAAATGTTTCCCCCTCTTCGCCTGACGCCGCCCCATCCCACGCTGACGTCACAGCGCGTGCTCGACACGCAAATGAGATGCGTTCGTGAGTTGANCGACCTGAAGAAGACAAATCGACCATGACAGAGCACGGTTACAAAGACAATGATATCTTATTTCTTACAATGATTTTAACTCGCTGAAAAAACTATTTCCCGTAGAGTAGGAATGTTCAAACATGAGTTATTGACATTTAATGTCAATTCTGTGTTCAAAAATTTAAAGTATTAATTCTATTGGGAATGAGGTTAAGTTCAAGATACATTTTTAAGCCTTTTATAACAGTAATCTTGTTCAAGTCAGGATTTGCCTTTATTTTCCAAGTTCCAATTCAACCATTAACAGTGTTCATCTTGACACTCGTGTACTAAAGTTGCCGCGACCGCTTTCTTCCAGAAATTTTGTCTAATAGAGCCTTATTGACCGTCTGTAGGCAACTGTGCTGTAAAGTTCAATGATGACTAAATGCCTATCAATTACAGAATAAATTTGAATACAAAGATATGCAAAAAAACTACAATACAAAATATATCCCCTGAAAAACATCATACTGCCTTGTACTACGCAGGCAGGTCATCTCGATACCCTGTATTGCACATTGTACGTCTTAGATGCGATGCAGTCGAAGCCGATGTAGTGAAAAGACGTAGTAGAGCAGCCGACGTAGCGTGTAGTTGCGGATATAGTGAAGTTGGTGACTAAACCTGTAAACCTCTTCAACGATGAACTCAAATATTGAATCATTTAAATGTTGTCATTGAATTTCTCAGTCATGAAAATTTGAAAGTATCCGAAACACTGTCGTATAGCTGCATAGGGTAGCACGGGGCAGCGAGCCCCCCTTTTTTAAACTAAATTTTTGATGAAGATTTAATTGATACGAGGTAGTTATTTGTTTTGTTTGAAGTTACAACTAATGAGGAATGTATGATGTGAATTAGACGCCTATAGAGTTATTCAACTTTTAATTAAACAGTGTTTTGTAAAGTGTCAAAATGGGCCCATTGCCCCAGCCCCTGGAGCAATGGGCACATATGGGCTTGGGGCAAGGCACCCACCCCTAGTCCCTTTACCCCAATTGCATATTGTTTGTTTATGATAAAACAACACTTTACAGTTCAAAATAAGAAAAATTAAATGAAAAATATTACATTCATTCATATATTAACAACTTAAAACATCATATTCATAACTTGAAAAATATATTCTTGGCTTAATAAAATCTATCACTGACGTGAAAAAAAAATTTCCTTGGCATAAAAAATTCATCACTGACATGAAAAAATGTATCCTTGACTAGAAAAAAATATATTTACTTGACCAGAAAAAAACTTCGTTCGAGTTTCGTCCATAATCCAGATATTACGTGCAGGGGATTCGTACTTACTCGTGACTTCAGCCAACACCACAAAAACTCGTCGACTTATGGCCCATTGGCGTTGGCTGAAATCAACTTACGGCAAGGCAACAGTCAACAACTCGTGTTAAACTTGTTGCTTGAGGAATGCAATTAAATACTCACACTGTGCCGCTCCAAAAAATTTTTCAGCGAATCCTTGCCAGCCATTTTTTTTCTGCTTGTTAAATAGGCGATTTTTATTTTGGCATTCTACGACACTGATTGCATTCCTCCTCACTAATGTATATGACTTCTCCTCACTAATTTCTCCTTACTAATTTCTCCTCACTAATGATGTATAACTCAAAACTTCACCGAGGGGTATTGAGCCCACCATGGGCGCTTTGACCCGTGGCACGCATGGGCCCGTTGCCCACTAGGTACCATTTAAACTTATATCGTGTCAAATTTGTATTTTAAAATTTAATAGTCTAAACTTGAACTCAAAATTATCTCTACAAATAATACTTTCAAAATATAATTCATAGTACTTTCAAAAGTTTCATATAGAGTAATCGAAAACAGTTTTATTTAGCATCAAAAAACTTTTATCTGAGCTAAAACAGTTATTTGCGAGTAACTTACCAACGCAAACTCTTACACACACTTCACACACTTCAGCCCAGTGAAACTGCAGACCGGTTGTATGGTGCACGGACCAATANATGTTATGTTATGTTATGTTATGTTATGTTATGTTATGTTATGTTATGTTATGTTATGTTATGTTATGTTATGTTATGTTATGTTATGTTATGTTATATTATGCTATGTTATGTTAAATTAGAAACTCAGAAAATTTGTTAATGGAGCTCAGAACTTTTTTACAATACAACCAGTTGTAATTTAATGATAAAGCCGAATCCAAGCAATTATCAAAATGAATATCATGACTGGTTAAAAAAATGTAGAAACGGAGGGAATGCAGAATCTTTTTCAGGACATTCCGTTATCATAATCAAATATCAGATAAAATAAGCACTCGTACAAATATTTTATTAATTAATTGTTTGTTTGCATGGAAATGACACAGTTTCAACAACTCAGGTTGCTTAATATGTCTAAAAAATTTATTTTATTATTAATTTTTTTATATATATTCAAAGCCATTGTTTCGATTGAAAAATATGCTTTCTCCTTCATTGTAATTCTGTTTCAAATTTCTAACGTAACTTCGAAGACCTCGAAGTTTGTCTCCTTTCTACAACTCAAATAAGTAACAAATTACTTAATGCTTGGCAAAAGAAAAGTCCAGTTTTATATCGTTTGAACCGAGCAAATTTAGTTATAACTAATGCAGGAATTTCGGTGCCTCTCCCCATCACCAAAAGATTACAAACAATAAGCGCTCAAACGAATTTGATATTCGTGTAATTTCTTGTTTATTTATTTTAGTGTATTCTATGCTTTTACATTAAGCATCAATTTTTTTCTCTCTAAAATAAACAGAAAGAGAATCGTTAAACAATATTTATTCTCATACGCAACCAAAAGTACATGAGTTGAATTTTTTTATATAATAAAATAACATAATTCATTGTACTCCGGTAGCTCTCAGCCCCTCACCATCCAACGCGTTTGTTATGAGGCAGTAAGTCATGAAGATAAATGGTAAAGTTAGAACAAATGTAACAAAGTCGAACATTTAACACAAAATAATTAAAGCAAAACCACATGACAGTAAGTAGTTTATTTTGGAATTAATTACCAATTAGTATAAGTCATTATTTTATTCATAGGTTTGCTAATTTGTGATATACTTTCGTACACAGAGTTCTGTGAATTTTACTTGTACAAGTTGACTTTTCATCCGTTCAAATCTCGTCACGCTTAACTTCCACTCCAGCTATCCCGACCCAAAACAATCATGGATTTTTCCATGACGTGTTTCAATGAAAATGTTTCCCCCTCTTCGCCTGACGCCGCCCCATCCCACGCTGACGTCACAGCGCGTGCTCGACACGCAAATGAGATGCGTTCGTGAGCTGAGTGCAATCGCAACATTAATAAAAAAAAATATGTGCTTGAAAATTGCTTTTTAAACTCAACACTTTGAAAGAGGCCGTTGTCTCCGACGTTACACATGTACAAGGAATTTTTTATTTTATTTTTAAATATAAAAAACCTATTTCCAGATTTTTTACTCCCAAATAATTTTTAATTTTTTAAATTATTTATTTTGTCAATTGACTCAAGCACTGTCTCCGTTTTTCCGTAAATGTGCAAAATTTCAGATCAATTGAAGAGGTAGAAGTGTTTTAAATATCAAAAATAAGATTTGTAGCAGACAAACAACAAACAAACAGCAAGAACTTGAAGAAGTGAAGTTAAAGAAAAGTATTGTATAAATGTGTTAGTATGCGCCGTGACTTTAATTGTGAATTGGATTCCATCATATGGTTTATTAAGAAGCCACTAATGAAACAACATTACATCTTATTGAAAAATCAATCAATGCATTGAAAATTAATTAGCATGCGTCGTATTGTTCGTGATGGACTGGCATATATCAAAACATTGATAGTCGTAAACTATCATTCGTCGTGATGATATTTCAATTATTACGTACTAGTATTCATCACAATTTGCATCACAGAGATGCATTATTCAAAACATCACAAATCATCGCCAAATTTCACCATGGACCAGCAAACCTCCGCCCGATCTCTGCATGGTTAATATGAAGCTTTTTTACATATTCTGCTTGTAATATCTGTGTCAGTATCACACATAACTCCACTCCTTGTATTAGAGCTCAGGGGCCATACTTTCGAAACTCGCTAAGTAAACGTAAGTACTTATCGCTCCATTTTCTTGTCTATTATTAGTGGATTTTGCTTGAAAGGCCGTCAATGATTGGCTGATGAACTTACGATCTCTTAACTTTTTTTTGAAAGTATGGGCCCAGATTGCTAGTCGAAGACGAAACGTGATCAGTTTCAAAGTTCTTGATTTCATGAGAATAAAAATATAAAATTTGTGCGATATTTACACCTGCCTGTGATGATCGAATTCTCAGTTCAACCATTGCTGTATGTCGCTCCGTTATTAAGTAGTTAGTTTCTTTGGCCGACTTGATTTACCGGCGCGTTTCAACATTCTGTCGTGACAAGCTTGGAATTTTCTGCGACCTGAAGAAGACAGATCGACCATGACAGAGCACGGTTACAAAGACAATGATATCTTATTTCTTACAATGATTTTATCTCGCTGAAAAAACTATTTCCCGTAGAGTAGGAATGTTCAAACATGAGTAATTGACATTTAATGTCAATTCTGTGTTCAAAAATTTAAAGAGGTAATTCTATTGGGAATGAGGTTAAGTTCAAGATGCATTTTTAAGCCTTTTATAGCAGTAATCTTGTTCAAGGCAGGATTTGCCTTGATTTTCCAAGTTCCAATTCAACCATTAATAGTGTTCATCTGGACCATCATGTACTCAAGTTGCCGTGACCGATTCTTACAGAACTTTTGTCTTATAGAGCCTTATTGACCGTCTGTAGGCAACTGTGCTGTAAAGTTCAATGATGACAATGCCCTGGAATTACAGAAGAATTTCGAATGCAGAGTAATACAAAAAACTACATTAGAAAATATAACCCCTAAAAATACAGCCTACTGCCTTGTACTACGCAGGCTGGTCATCTCGATACCCTGTATTGCACATTGCACGTCTTCTCTATATCTTGTATGCGATGCAGTCGAAGCCGATGTAGTGAAAAGAAGAAGTAGAGCTGCCGACGTAGCGTGTACTTGCGGTTATGGTGAAGCTGGTGACTAAACCTGTAAACCTTTTCAATGTTGAACACAAACATTGGATCATTTTAAATGTTGTCATTGAATTTCTGAAACGACGATGAAAAATTAAAATTATCAGAAACACTTTTGTAGGGCAGCCTTAAGCAATATATATATATTGAGCAGCTTTGCGCAATATATTATTGGTGCAGCGATTATTATTATGGGAATGTAAAATTATGAGGTAGCGAAAGAAAAATATTAATCAAAGATGCATATTACTCCGTCACTTTCGGCAGTGTAGGACTTATTTAAATATAAATAAATGCTATATATATATATATATATATATGTAGCATTTCTTTGAATTTAGCTTGTGATAGTTATGAAAATTAAAAATTTGCTCACTGGCTTTGGAAAACCCATAACGATTTTAATGGCAAATTCCAAAGAACTTGATCATAAACATGTAGCCTACAGTTAAAGCATTGCAGTTCTCTGACATTACTGGAAGTTTCCTGCACATTATTCTAGTTTTTCAACTCTCATGTCCAATTTCACCAAATTTAGCAATTGTTTAAGAAACTGCTCATTGCGATATCTGAACCTGTCTTACGAATTACCAATTTTTTTCCATTGAGACATCAAATTAAGTCGTCATTAATTCACTCTAAACTAGGAAACTCCCATGACGTGCGTACAAACACTACGCTCAATGGACATAATTGAGTTTTATCAAAGATCGTGAGGTTATTTTGAATCGCCGTCTTTGGAACGTGATTTACTTTCATGTTATCTATATAAACAACGTGTCTGCCAACAGTATAAATAACGTGTTTCCCTTTAGAAGTTTATCAGTTGCAAATTGACTTCCTCAAGCAAGCTTGCACGGGCTCCTCTACAAACCCAAACTGCCTCAGCATGCTTCGTTCCACCGTTCTTCTTGTTGGTATGTGACATTGGCTTATCTATGTGACATTGACTATCGGCTGATCGTTCATATAAACAGGATTCTGGCCGTCCTGCAGCTTCAATAATTATTTAACTTTTTCAAGTCATTTGATTTGTCTGAATCTTGTTCGTTGGGGCGTTCAATATTGATTATGGCGCCGCGATGTTGTACTCGTACGTTCTAATATTACCTGGTACATATTTGCTAGATACTTTTTTTCTATCGCTGAAAGCTGATGAATGACGCCCTTAAATCCCGTTTAAATATATGGGATTCTGCTTTTGGTGCTGCTTTGGTTATGATTAATCCTGAATTTGGGTGTTTTAGGGGTCTTAATATGCATGATTACACAATTCCATCCCTTTGAATATTTATATTTCAGTTCGTGCTGTGAGATGCTAACAAATAAAACTAGTGAATTTCGATTTTGGAATTACATGCCCTCAATTTGAAAATTTGAATAACGTTAAATTCACTCATAATAACTATCGTGAATAGATATTTTAGCAGGATATCTGGATATGTAATGGAAATTAAAACAGTTAGATTTTTTGGTCCGTGCAGTGGTGGCTGCGATGACATTGGACCGACTGACTACTGGCACTCCAGTCCCAGATGTGACTCCGGGCATCCTGCCTCTGACGGCTGAAGTTCAGGCTAAGCTTCCATTCCCGCAGGAGGGTCTACCCAAACAGCTTCCACCTCTCTCACGACAGCGCAGAACTAAAAGAAAATACAAAGTTAACCCGCCATATTTTTCATAAAATCATTCCAGAGACCTGCTCCACCATCAGTTTAAATTTCAATAATGTAAGCCTAATCAACAGAGTAACGAAATAAAAATATGCAAATTTCACCTTTCCTGTATTTGTATCTGTGAAGTTTTTGAACTGATGATGGAACTGGTCTCCAAAACTCAGCATCGCCGTCAAAATTATCTATTTACAATTCTATTTGGATATTAATTAAAAGTAGCATTAAAACAAGACTTCAAGCCGTTTCAAATTATACCGGGATTCGAAACTTCATATCTTTTCGCTGAATGGGCTCCAGTTTCACCTGGTATTTTCTCAAATTAACATTAATAAATTTGTTCCTAAGTGCGATAATGTGAGCGTTGTTAATTGTTCATCTTCATTATTTGACCCATTATCTGAGGCTGTGTCATGGGAATGGAACATTTGGCTCATTGTTTGGGAATAAATATCTTATATATTATTCATGTATTTTCATATATAAAGTTTTAGATTTAGAAATGTGGAATGTATGTTTTGTAGGAAGGCATAAGACAAGGTAATTACAGTATGTTAGCCCACATTAAATTGTCTATGTTCGTTTAAATTTGCTTGGCTTTGTTCATCGGTGCTTTTCACTTAGGGGTTCTTTTTACTGAGCTTGTTACTTATCTTTGTAACATTCGCACATAAAAGATTCCGTTATTGGAGATCATTGCTCATTTGTTTTTAAAAAGTTTTCGATTTTATTTTATTTTTTTAACAAAATTAAGAGGAGAGGCAGAATGCCCTATATATTTAAACCAATATTTATTCATTCGTTACTTTTAGTGCTCTGTACAACAGGATTTTTTCTTTCCCCTAGTTAATATTATTATAAGCTCACTTTATGTAATTTTTTCCAAAACTTAATGGCAACATTCTTAGCACGAACCAGCATTAGTCGCGGGGTTCCGCAACTCAATTGTTAGTGCGACTGGCCTTCTTAATTAATGAATGGATTAAATTGTGCTATCTATGATTCAGTTTTCTCAATTGATTGCTTGGAAATTCAAATGAAACATTATTATGACTTCGTTATATTTTGATTTGCATTTACGCTCATTTAATTTGTCATTGTTTTCGCAAGCAGATGCTACTCAATATATCATGAGTGCACTTAAATGCTTAGAGCAGCCAAAGAATTCCAAAGTTAAAAAATTTCCCCTCAAGAGAAGTCAGCAATCATAAACACATATAGGAAGATAATCACATCCGAAACTTTTCTCATTGTGATCGATCATTATGTGAAATAATGTTCGTTTTTCAATCGTCATATTTATTAGTTAATCATTGATACCTTTTGCGCCTGTCTCTTATACACATCTATATGTGTATAAGAGACAGGCCCNTGTCAATTCTTTATTTATTTTAATATGTATTAAAAATTTGAAAAAAAAATTTTTTTATATTTAAAATAGAATCAAAAATTCATTGTACATGTGTAACATTGGAGACACTGGACTCTTCAGAGTGTCGTCTTTAAAAAGTAATTTTTAAACGTATATTATTGTAGGTGTAGGTACTGTCTCTTATACACATCTAGATGTGTATAAGAGACAGCGGTAGCGCCCGCTACATTTAGAGCATGTAGCGGTAGCGGTAGCGCCGCTACATTTCCAAGTAGCGCTGCCCAGCTCTGGGTACAGAGAGAGTGTTGGTACAGAGGGAGTGTTGGGGTACAGAGGGAGTGTTGGGTACAGAGAGAGTGTTGGGGTACAGAGGGAGGGTTGGGGTACAGAGGCAGTGTTGGGGTACAGAGGGAGTGTTGGGGTACAGAGGGAGTGTTGGGGTACAGAGGCAGTGTTGGGGTACAGAGGGAGTGTTGGGGTACAGAGGGCTGTCTCTTATACACATCTAGATGTGTATAAGAGACAGTCTTATAGGTTTTGAACTTTGAACTGACGATGGAGCTGGACTCCGAAACGTTTTCATTCTTAAGAAATGGTTAATATTCTGGCTGTTTTCTTTGCTTTTAAATTCCTGGTTAACTTGCGATTTAAGCAATCTAGTGATTTTATTACTTCAAAATTTTGATTCACAGAACTTTGGGTTTGAATCCTTGTAAAAAAGTTTTGAATTTCTTCCATAATATGACCGCTAATCTGAATGACTGAATTAATAAAAGGTGGAGCGTAAAACCCAAGATTCTTAAATGTTGTTATTTGTGTACCTTGCCGTGGTGGCGTTGCAGCCCTGATGCTCCTCTACGAGTCTACAAGAATTACTCTATTAAGTAAAGCGCATATAACGCAAACAAAACATTGGTCTACAAAAGTCAAGGAATTATATATAAATTCACATGATTACATTGCATACATCTCATCCAAACATTTATTTGGTTCTCAGTATTCTAGGGATGATACCTTGCAATGTTTTACGCATCAAATTGGTTGACGTAGTCAGTTCCCAGAAAACGCATCAGTTCCGAGAATAATGCGAAGTTTACACGTGTCGGTCTTGTCGCGGCTGGAGTTAACTCGTTTCCCAAATTCTAAAAAGTAATTTGGCGACTTTGTAAATTCAAGGTACCGACGAGGCAAGTATAATGCAGGATAATTACACTGTATTCTACTTGGTTTAATGAACCTATTAATTTATGATCGAAATGAACGAACGTGCAGTGATAATTTTTATTTTCTAGCAATCAATCATGCATACCGAAATTGTTTAGAGGTCAATTCTTGAGTATTCGACTTTTTCTTTTCACTGTGAGAATAAGTAATTTAGGTAGCGTGAATAAATCATAATTTCTTCAGACATTCTCTGTTATTTGACTATACCCGAGAGTAAATTATCATCAGTGCGCAGTGGCGTACCACAAGGAAGCGTCCTGGGGCCTATTTTGTTCGTTGCTTTTATAAACGATTTGCCAGAAGCAGTGTCCAGCGTGTGCTCCATGTATGCCGACGACACAAAAGTTTATAATTCAGTGAAGGATACGTCAAATAAAGCGCAATTGCAAGATGATCTTGACAGTTTAGTTAACTGGGCTGATAGGTGGCAGCTGCGGTTTAATGCTGACAAGTGTAAAGTACTTCACCTCGGGAAGAATAATGAACAGCAAGATTACAGTTGCAGCGAGAGAGTAATGATTGCAAAGTCTAGTGTGGAAAATGATCTCTGAGTTTATGTCGACAAGGAGCTAAAATTTTCTAAGCATGTTGAAACGCAAGCTAACACATCCAACAAACTTCGATCTTGGACTAATCAGACGCTCATACGAGTTCTTAGATGCAGAAGCGATGAAGCAGTTGTTTGTTGCTGTCGGGCGCCCGAATCTAGAGTTTGGAAACGTTGTGTGGTCACCGAGATTTGAAAAGGACAAAAATTTAATAGAGAATATTCTAAGATGCGCAACAAGGATAATTCCAGGCTTGAAGAGCAAGTCCTATGAAAAAAGATTAAAGATTATGAAGTTTCCGAGCCTCAGTTATCGACGTCTGCGTGGGGACCTAATTGAAGTATACAAGTATACTCATGGTTTATACAAGGTCCCCGAAGGATTACTAGAATTTGAAAAAAATACAGTAATTACATCTAAAATAAAAAAACTTAATTTTTATTTTCTAGCAATCAATCATACAAACCGAAATTCTGGAAAGGTCAGTTCTTGAATATTTGAGTTTTTTCTTTCTTCTGTGAGAATAAGTAGTTTAGATAGCGCAAAATAGATCATAATTTAATTACATATTCTCTGTAATATGACTATCCGAGAATGAAATAGTAACTCAGATAATTTGTTGATGGATCTCAGAACTTTTTTACTCTACAACCAGTTGCAATTTAATGATAAAGCCGAATCCAAGCAATTATCAAGATTAATATCATGACTGGTTATAAAATGTAGAAACGGCGGGAATGAAGAATCATCATCAGAATCTTCTGCCATCATAATCGAATATCAGATAAAATACTAATCACTCCTACAATTATTTATTAATTAATTGTTGCTTAATTAACTCAGGTTGCTTAATATGTCACAGAAATTTATTTTATCATTTAATTTCTTTTTATCAATTCAAAGCCATTGTATCAATTGTAAATATGCCTTCTTCTTCATTGTAATTCTGTTTCAAATTTCCATCGTAACTTCGAAGGCCTCAAAGTTTGTTTCCCTTCTACAACTCAAATAAGTAACAAATTACTTAATGTTTGGCAGGAGAAGACTCCATTTTTATATCATTTGATCCTAGTAAACTTAATTATAACTAATGCAGGATTTTCGCCACCTCTCCCCATCACCAAATGAATACAAACAATAAGCGATCAAACGCATTGGATATTCGTGTAATTTCTTGCATACTTATTTTAGTGTATTCTAAGCTTTTACATTAAGCTTCTATTTTTTCTCTCTAAAATAAACAGAAAGAGACTCGTTAAATAATATTTATTCCCATACATAACCAAAAGTATAAGAGTTGAATTTTTCTATATAATGAAATAACATAATTATAATAATAAAATAACATAATAAAAATAACATAATTCATTGTACTACGGTAGCTCTCAGCACATCACCATCCAACGCGTTTTTTATGAGGCAGTAAGTCATGAAGATAAATGGTAAAGTTTATGTTAGAACAAATGTAACAAAGTCGAACATTTAACACAAAATAATTAAAGCAAAACCACACGACAGTAAGTAGTTTATTTTGGGATTAATTACCAATTAGTATAAGTCATTATTTTATTCATAGGTTTGCTAATTTGTGATTTACTTTTGTACGTAGCCTTCTGTGAATTTTACTTGTACAAGTTGACTTTTCATCCCTTCAAATCTCGTCACGCTTAACTTCCACTCCAGCTATCCCGACCCAAATAAGTCATGGATTTTTCCATGACGTGTTTCAATGAAAATGTTTCCCCCTCTTCGCCTGACGCCGCCCCATCCCACGCTGACGTCACAGCGCGTGCTCGACACGCAAATGAGATGCGTTCGTGGGTTGACT